TTTTTAAAATCTAAAGTACATAATTTATTGTGTTATTTCCACAACTAATGTGATTTTTGTATTGTTTCAATTTTCATTATACATGTATATTTTGTCAAACCATATAATCATTTTAAAATTTGTATATATTTAAAATACTATAATTCTCCCATTTTTATTTTCTTCTCATCACATAACATTATGCCATGGGTATTTTTCCATATTGCCGCATGGTCTTCACAGTGTCACTGTTCCCCATTGGTGCATGTGCATTAAATTGATGAATGCTGGTCTTCAGAGAAAAATGACTCTAGAGCCTGCAGCTTTTGGATTTGCCAGCAGGGCAAATGGTAGAGCTGGCTCTGGTTTACCCAAGGATAGATAGTCTCCTTTGGAGAGCACAGCAAGAAGTGATGGTCCTATCTCAGATTCACAAATTTGTCCAGAATCTTTGTTGATCTCTTCCAATTCATTTTCTATGCAGGGGCTAGAGTGATCTTTCCAAAATGTACAGTGAGTTGATTTCCTTTAGGTAAAACTCTTCACTGGAATGACGTTTACCTTCAGATGCTACACAATTTCTGCTACAGTGAGGAAGATATTTACCCATTTATTCTGTTATGGATGCAAGATTCATTTACCACTTTACACAGGAGTAAGATTATAATTGATGGGCCTGTCACAGTGGCTCACATCTGTTATCTCAGCTACTCATGTGGTGGAAATGGGGAGGATCACAGTTTGAGACCAACTCATTCAAAAAGTTCATGAGACCCTACCTCAACCAATAAATCGGGATGTATACACACTGGCCATCCCAGTTACATGGGAGGTATAAGTCGGAGAATTGTGGTCCAGGCCAGCCTGGATAAAAGTGAGACCCTATCTGAAAAATAACTGAAGCCAAAAGGGCTTAGAGGTATGGTTCAAGTGGTAGTGCTTGCCTGGCCAGCATGAGGCCCTGAGTTCAAATCCCAGCAATGCCCACCCCCCCAAAATAAAGATTATAAGAGATAGTTTGCCTGGAAGGATCTTAGGATAGTTTCCTGAATTTCAGATGTTGAAGCTACCTATGGAGGTAGGAATGTCTAGTAATATATGCCCAGGATAGTCAAGAAATTTTCATAGAGAGTTACATGCCCTCTTCCCAAATCTATACTTTTCCCATTCATAGCAACCCATATGAACAAAAAAGACAACATAGCTTCCCAGACAGGACTATAGAGAAATCTCCATTGTCCTCTGAAGTTTCAAACCTTTCTGTATTCCATGCTATCCACTAAAAATTATAATTTAATTATATGTAATACAAAATAGGGCAATGACTTATTTATTTTTTGTGGAATTGATCTCATTGTTCACAAAAATCTGTAACTGGTCCAATGCAAAGAAGCATCTAAACACAGATGAAAGGCTAACAGAATGAGGTTGGAAGAGAAACTACATCACACATTTCTTTGAACTTTCACAGCTTTCTTCACGATACTATGTTCAGAATGGCTGTAGAAACTAGAAGATTTTCTACTACTTATAACATAATTCCTTCTAATTCAACAAACTTTAAATACTTGGAATCTATTTAGGTATTGATTTCTCCCTTATGTTTTTTGTTCTAATAATTAATTTTCAAACACCCACTATATGTAAGCTGAGGACACACGAGACCCAAGAATTAATGCCTCATGTTTGCTGCCTGCATTAATGAAAGTGATTAAGAGATCATGATGCCAGGGGTTTCTTAGAAAGTAGAGCCCCCAAACTCTGAGGGCTTAGATGTTAGTAATATATTTCTAATGATTCCAAATGTGAATTGAAAGAGCTTTTTTAAATGGTTTTACTATGTCTGAGACCAGAGGATGACTATCTTAAAGAACTACCAGGCACTTGTGTGATATGCTCTGGGGCCATCATGACTTCCTCCTCACTTAAACTGTTTTGGAAAGGACACAGCAATATTTTTCCATTCCCAGTTTTTTTTTTTCTTTGTATCTTGCCATGTAGCCCAGACTTGCCTGAACTCCTGTGCTTAAGCAGTCCTCCTGCTTCAGTCTCCAGGTAGCTGGGACTATATGCATGAACAACTGTATCATTCTTTAATTCTTGTAGAAGACATGGCATCATGGATACTGGCCTATTTTATGCTTGTCCCCTTCTACTAGAAAACCAAATCTGTTTGCAGTTTGAGCACCAACAGATTTATTATTACTATGTTTATCCATCTACTCCATTTCTAAGATAGTTTTATATTTCAAATACAAGACTATTGGAGTGAGAGTTTTATGTTACCTAGCAAAGCTAAAAGTGTTTTCACTCCCAATTTAAAATTTTACTTGGTTTTTAAACCAGGAATTCTATTTCAAGATATTTATATTGCAGACATAAATGATACCTGCATAGTCTAAAATTACATGCATACAATATTCTTTAACGTACTATCTATAATTGCAAAGGATTCTAACCTATTTAAATGTCTGTTAATAATGAATTGTCAGTCATAATGATACTTAACATGAGCTGACAGGGAATCATCTCCAGGGTATATTACTGATCAAATGAAGCTGCTGAAAAGTATGTGTAGTATGCTATACTTAGGTAAAGAAAATAAATGAGTATCTATAAGTCTCTGAATATTCATGGTACAATCACTGAAAGTTACACCACACACATTGGTAAGAGTTGGCTGTCTTTGAAGGAGAGACTGTATGATCAGGAGACAGTAGAAGGAGGGAGACTTATTTGTATCACATTTCCTAATTTTCTATTTTGAATTTGGTGCCCATGTATGGGAGAATAAATTATTTCTCCTAATTCTGCACTTCTGGATAATAACAGTATTCACAGTTTTTTCCATGTGTGTTTTGCAGTGTTCTGTGATAGATGCAACAGTCTCCCTAAACTACTGGTGTTAGGATTGGTTATATGACCTGCAATAGCCAAAGGAATGTTAGCCCATGTGAAACAGGCAGAGGTTTAAATATGCTTGTGTGGTTCCGCTGGCCCTTTCTGCTCTTGGGATCTGTCTTATGAAGATCAATCCTGATGGCTGTTGGTTCCAGGAAAAAAGATGTTTAGAACAGACCAGAACACAAACACTGGCTTTGAGCCAAGCCCAAGTGATCTCAGCCCAAAGTAGAGACACCCTAGACAAGTTGCAGACCTGTAAGCAAGAAAAATAAGTGTTTGCTCTTGTAAGCAACTGAGTTGTTTGTGGTTGTTTGTTATACTGCACTGTCCTAATAGGAGCTTTCTTAACTAACCTCCATTTAACCAGATTCCTGTATAACCAATATCCTCCTGTATTCCTATAAATCCTACTAACTGATGTACAGAGCCTCATAAATGTTCATAGCTATTTGTTGACTAATTTAGTGCAGCTATACCTTCCTACTTCTTCCAGTTAAATTATATGCTTACTAAGAATTCTTAAATGCATTTATGCCTATTCTATTTATTGTAGCCATTGAATTGCACAATTTGATGAAATGAACATATTGTCACATGGAAACTGTATTTTACTATTTGAAAAGCTCAATAAAAGTCAATAAAATTGTGATCAAGTTGGTTATGAAAATAATTCATAAATAAAAATTATAAAAATGTAGAAGAATAAGCAGTTAAAAATAGATTCTCAAGTGATTTTTAATTCTCACTCCATTTGTTTTGAGAGAGTTATACTATGTAGCCCAGGCTGGTCTCAAAATTGCAATCTTCCTGCCTCAGTCTCCTGAGTGCTGGTATTACCGTCATGCTTAGCTTTGCATCCCATTTTAAAGACACTAAAAGCAAAACTTAAGGACGATGAACTGTAGATTGTTTATTGAAGAATGATTTTGTGTATAAAGTATCCAGAAGACCTTTGCTCTACAGGAAAATATTGATGTGCTAATTTATGTTTACCTGTTTTAATTTAAAATAAATTAATAAAGGTATGAATGTGTACCATTTTTTATGACTCACTGAAGACCATTACAGTTTTTCATTAATTACATCTTCATAGAAGGTAAAGAACTCTTCCAAGTTTACATCATTCAGGAATACAGGAACTTAATGCTAAAGCTTCATGTCATTCTTGAACTCTGCACTAATACAATCAATATCCAGCATCTTTTAGACACTGAGTAGAGCTATTGCTTGTGTTTTCTTTTCTGGCTCTAAGTTAGGCTTTCTGGGAGTTGCTTCAAATATTAGATGAACTCTGTTTTAGTAATGAAGTCATGATGACTGATCAGTCTAGTTTTTCTTTAGAGAAAAACAAGAGGAAATTATTTCTCACGTGTTACAACTTAAGACTGTTGTCTTCTGTCAGTGAGTGCTAAAACACTTTTATGAGAAAAGCTTTATTAATTCAACTTTGTTTCAAAGGAAGTAGCCTATAAATAATAATTTTAATAATTAAAAATTCATCTTATCCTAGTCTTTCCTAGTCTTGTCTTTGTTCCTCTTAGCTTATAACAGTATAACCAGCTCTGGAAATATTAAATTCTGTTATTTTTCCATTCTACTGTTTTCTTTCAGGCTTGTTGATGTGAACCACAGTTTATTTCATGACTAGTTTATAGTGACTGTTGCAATAATTATTGGCCTAATTATCTTTTCAGATAAGATGTAAGGTTACAGTCACAAAGAAGGTGATCCCAAACGACTGCCTTGACAAAATTTTTCTCAAGGCTAGCATTCTTATGTTTACATTAATTCTTTGTAAAGGGAATGAGGAAGGGGTGAGTAGTGTTTTCATGAAGTATGTGTGTGTGTGCATACATATCTTAACAATAGACTAGAGGGCCTCTGTTTACTTTCTCAATTGTACATTGAACCGAGAAGAATTTATAAGATTATTATGGATTAAAAGAGCCTAAACTCTGCCTGAGGGGATGAGACCCTGAGATGTTAGATGCAGGCATATCTTTGCGGAAAAGAGTAGCACAGTTCAAATAATTCCTAGTTGGGATGCTAAGATAGAAGAACACCTCAGTAACAGCAACACAGGTGCTAGCGGCCAACTCACTGTTTGTAAGTATTTCTCCTAAAGCCTCTTACAGGCTTGGAAGCAAATTTTAATGGAAAAACAGATGCGTTGCGTTCAGAGAAGCTCCTTCATCAAAGCTATGATTTTACTATACACCCTCTGAGGGGCATCAAGGCCCCAGACAAAATCAAAGTGGTTCCAATCTTGCAGAAGTCTGAAATAGCGAAGATTTCTAATTTGGGGGAGTATCCTGGCCACATCCTGGGGTGTTACAAGGCTGTCATGTCCGCCAGCCCAAATAGCAGTGGGCACCTTCATGGCAGTCAGATCATATAATGGAGGACGACTCTGTTGGAGAGAGAAAGGAAAAGAAAGAGAAAGGGCAGCCATGAGAGGAAGTTCCTTATGCTAACAGTTGAATTCAAATAAATGACCATGCAAAATGACTGCACAATGGCTATGGCATAACTCTGTTAGACTCCAAGTGAAATAAGAAACCATGCAATATTCCCTATCTTCAAGGAGTTTGCAAAGGAGGGAGCAAGGCAAGAAAGCTAACTAAACATTTGTATACAAAATAGTGCATGTTGAATGTCACAAATCATTTCCAAAATGCAATAGAAGTAAAGGCAAAGAAGAAGTTATTTCCAACTGTGGTTTAATAAAAAAGAGGAGTAATTTGAAATAACTCCTGAGGGTGGTTGAATTTTGACAGGTAAGTATGGAGGTAAGAGGGCTTCCCCGGGAAGGAAGAGTATGCATGAATGACAAGCTTCTGAATGAGAATAAAATCTGTAAGGGAATATATAGGGATATAAGGCTGGAGCCAGATAGTCAAAGTCTGAGTGTCAAGCTGACCAATTTGGGCTTTTTTCAGAAGTTTTGGGGACATTATAAGGTCATTTCTGAGAGTTCTATCTTAAGACAACTATATGGGTATCATTTACTGGGATGACTTAAAGAAGGAGTGGGTTGAAGGTAGGTCTTAAAAAAAAAGTCTAGACAAGCAGCGTGGCTAGTCCAAATTGAAGCTCTGGGTAAGACTAAATTCTCCAAGGAAGAAAGAGTGGGAGTTGTGAGGAATCTTAGGAGAATGCTGAGAATTTGAGAGGGGTGGGAGGAAGAATAGCTAGCGTAGAGGATGAAGGGAGCAATCAAAAAGGAAGGGAAAAATTAGGGATCATTTCATTATGGAAGCTCATAGGGATCCAGCAGCAAAAAAATTGTGATAACTAGTATAACAAGTTTTGAAAAGTGAGAATGGACAGCTGAATTTGTCACTTAAATGCTGCTGGTGACTTTAAATGGAGTACCCTATAATAGAAAGATAAAGACTGAAACTATATTTTCAGTGGCTTCAGGATTGAGTAGAAGAGGGAAAGAAGCCCTTTTATGTGCTAAAAAAAGATTGAAAGAAATAGAATGATGTAATGATGACTTGATAGAATTAATGGGTTAAGGGAATGTTGATTTGCCTATTTTTCATAAAAGACAGAAGTTCATGTAAGATAATTAGAGCATCTGGGAGAAAAGAGAACTTAAAAAAAGGTGGGGTGAACGGCAGAGGTACTGAGTGCCCAGTAGATGCTGAGTGAGAAAACACTGGTAAACAGAAAGGAGAGAAATTGCTACCCTCCTGTGGCTTATATGAACTGGTCCTCTTACACTCAGTAAAACAGAGTGGGAATAAATATGCTGCTGGTGACTTGAGGGGAGACAAACTGTTGAGACTAGTTTCTATAGGGGAATGCAATAAAATTAACTTCAAATTATGTAAAACTGAAAACAAAACAGAATTGGCTTAGAGCGGGGTAAAACCAATTAATTACTGATGAATTCTAAGGACACTGACACTCCAGCATAAATTAGTACTTGACTATAGTGGTCTTTTGTGTGTGTGCTGTGTGTTGTTTTTTTGTCTGTAAATATAAACAACATATAAATATAATATGGTTATTAAAATTAATGGAAGAAAACAGAACTCCTGTATGTAATATTGAAAAATCAGAGTCATTTTCTCTTCCCCTTTCTTTCCTCCCCAAAGGTAACCACTTTAACATTTATTAATTTTTTCCTAGACCTTTTGTAAGACTTTAAAATATCTGGGAAGGAAATGGAAATGTTTTACATTTTGATTATGTTATGGTTACACAAATGAATGTATTTGTATAACCTTATTTAATTGGAATCATAACATTAGCAAATTTTATTGTATATAAATAACATCTTAAATTGATTAGAAAATAAATAATGTATATATAGTACATCAATATATATTGAATATATATACATATGCATATTGTGTTTGTTTTATGGGATTAGTAAAATCATTCCTCTACCAATTTGATTTATTGCTGAGAAATTGACTGGTCTGATTTATTGATTTTTTGATGCTCAGAAAAACCTAACTGATCTGAGTTTACATTAACAAATAGCTGTTAAAAAGTCACTCTAGGAAAACACTGGTAAATTTTCATTTAGTGTGCTTAGTTTATACTTAGAAGCTCAGACCCTGATTATAAAAACAGAAAAATGGCAAAAAGTTTGATTAAAAACACACTGGTAAATGAGTCTTACAGATTCTGACACGTAAAGCTATATGGAAAAAAGATGCTTTAAGACCCCATTCTTCAATGTTCAACAATATTTTTTAACTTTCATAAAGAATCTTAATTTTTTTAATACTGATATCAAAATGTGTGTATTTTTAGTCTATCATTATTTTTATGAAACAATTACTATTATTTTGCAGCTATTACAATAATGTTTTAAAACTTATCAGTCATACTGGTTATCTTTTCTCCCAGCTTGAAATGAAGAAGCATGATCAAAGTTCTGTAAAGCAATATAATACTGAGACATTAATACCCAAAATAATAATACACCTAGTTATCTCTGTGGGGAGGGACTATAAATGATTTAATTCCCTTTGTATATGCTCCTTTTATTCCTAAACCTGTGGCAGTTTAATGAATATATATTAAAATTAGGTATTTTTTTAAAAGGTCTATCTGTACAAATGCCACCAATAAGGTAGGATTCTTCTAATTTCCAAAAAATTCCTTACAAAAGGGGTCTTTCTGAGTAGCTCACCTCATTGTAGTGATGCATATTTTCGGCTTCACTTCCCCAGTCATAAGCTCTGAATTCATCAGATCGGTAAAGCTGAAATAAATGAGTTTTGAAAAAGAATATCAGTGATTAGGAATCATGAGAAATAGCAACAAATCTTACAAAAAACATGGCCTATTTTATGAAGTCTAATTTAAGAGTAGTTTCATCAATGTCACCTATTTATTCCATACCATAAAACTCTCTTATAATTTAGGGAAATCAAACATAAAGATAGCAACATGGACACATTAGAAGCAATTGGCTAAACTTCTTGAGGTAAAGCCTGTCAAGAGAATCAAGCCTTTCCTTTCATATATAATGAAAGTTAGACTTGGAGTAGGTTCCCAATCCAAAGATTCTACCTGTTTTATATGCAGGATGTTCTGTATTGATGATCCAGTAGGAGCATGTGACATATATACATCCATTCGGCTCTAGGGAAATTAAATCCATGTTACAACAAAAATCATCCAATGAAACATAAACTATGACTTTCAGAAGCAGATAACAATTATGCTAAGAATGACCAGAACTGGTGTTTCGAAAATGATGAGGTACAATCATCTTGATAAATATGTTTTTATGCAAGGCACTTAAAGTGAGTGAAACACAAGGTGACTAGGGGATAGATTGCCTACAGTTTTTGAATTTTTAGGGCAATTTGCTTATTTTGAAATAGAAGAAGCATAATGGACATTATCAGGCAAAATAACCAGGAAAAGTGCTATGTGTAAGTATGGGAGTGCTGTATTCAAGTGTGGGGACCTTGGTGTGTGGAAGTGTGGGGCATGGTGTGAGCTATAGATTATAAACCTGGTTTTAGGTGCTAATGTTAATTATTGGCTTTATGACTTTGGTCAAGTTACTTAACATTTCTGAGTTTCTTTTCTCATCTATTAACTAAGCATTAAAAACCATTTTGACAAGATAAAGTATTGCAAAAGTAATGTTAAATACCAATTCCTTCCAAAGATTATTTCAATTTTTGTAAACATTATAGAGATGAACATTATAGCACTAAACAGTAATAACAGTAATAACTTATATAAGATACACAGTTATCTTAGAATATAATGAACGTAATCCAGGGAAACTACTAAAAATCTTTACTGAAAAGATTATTATTAACAATGGTTCCTCATGGGTTTCAATGAGCATAATATAACCTCTTAAAGCATGGGGGTGAGATGGGCTGGTGGAAAACAACTATCTTGGAATTGGCTTCATTATAACATTCCCACTGGCTGCCAATCAGAATATAGCAGAGATAACTATTTAACAACACTAGTCTGCAAATGTAAACTCCTCCTTTCGCTCCTGCTTCTTGAATTCTCAATAACTCTAAACAAACATTGGATGAAACAAGACTGCTATTTCTTCTCCCTTTTATTCTATTCTAGAGTTTTTAGGTTAAATGATGAATTTCATTTGAAACCAAAATCACACATAAAGGATGACACATATGAAATAAATGTAAAGCTCATAAGTGCTTATTTCCTTTTCTAGGATTTTATTTTTAATGCAATATATTTAAAATCAGTAATTTCAAATTAATTGTTAGAAGTTGTAGTGGATTTTGAACATGTGAGAATCTACTGTCCATTATGGAACATCCATTCTCCAAATTTTGACCAAAGATGGAAAGATGAGGTTGCATTTCCCTTTACCAGTCCTCACAGTTATGGTCTTTAGGAGGAGTACTCAGTCTTTTATGCATGGCAAATATCTGCCTTTGAGGATTTGGAGTCCTATATGAATTTATGTGCTATATAGATAAATGATTCAAAATAAAACTGAAGTTTCTTTGACAATAAAGTGACCCCATAATTATATACCTACCACATTCATATTTTTCTTATTGGATCCAGCCCATAAGGACATAAATTCACTACATAGTATCCAGAGTACTTTATTGTTACAGATTTTGGTAGAAGGTATCTTCTCATTCTTATCTTCTAAAAAGAAACCTTTGGTACCAAACATAGCCTGTGAAAGTAAAAAAACAAAAATCAAGATTTATCTTGTGATTTCTTGACAGTCCCTTCATTCTGGGAAACAAACATATTTGGGAATCTGTATTTATGTATGTTGTTTCAGTCAAGTAGACTAATTCACTCAGAGAAGATGATTTAGGGATCCAGTTCCAAATGAGGAAGGTCATCAAACACTCTTTACCAGGAGATTTCAGTAAGGAGTCTTCATCCCCCCATTTACTTCTCCATAGTGAAGCTCTGCTGTATTCTGTCCAATTGGTGATTCTGATGTTCTCATTCATTGGTATGAAAGGTGAAAAAGGTTTTCTTTTCAAGGTGAAATATTACATTGAATAGGAGGAAAAATAATTTTTTACACTTGTTCATGTACACATTGGCTTTCTAGTGCTGTCCCACATTAACCTGCCTCCATTATGAAAATTAGAAAATGGGTACCAAAGAAGGGTGCCACTGGACTTTAAAGAGGTGATGATGTCTCAAAGATTGCACAGTTAAAACTCCTGGGCTGGGGAAAGTAAGCTTAGGTAGAGTCTCCAGTGGGATTCTGGAGCTTCTGCAGCTGGGGGGCCAGAGAATGGAACTTAAAGTGACAGGAAGTTTTGGCAGTAAGGAATGTGAACTGAGATAAACCACGAACATTATTTGGTTCATATCTGATGCACATATATAAGAAGAAAAACACATATGAAACGGGTGTATTTAGTTTACCCAATCCTGGCCCAAATGTAGATATCAATCAAAACCAACTGATGTCAATACATTTTGAAATAGAGCTATTAACCAATCATACAAAAAGAGAGATATAAGATTTGTTTTCATGGTAAACAATACAATGAAACTGGCATCAAACCAGTCATTAGTGTTTATGGAAAATTTTCCTAGTGCTAAATTACTAATATATCTTTCATATTCCTGCCACTCCACCCCAAACCAGGACCTTGCATATGAACTATTTATATATGAACTTCTTACTCATGAACTATTGCGAGAGTCTAACTGGTCTCCTTGAGTTCACAAGTCTACTTTTACCATCACCATAATTCAAAAAACAATCTTGGTAATTCAAGATTATGTTCAAAGACATGTTCTTTGTGGTCATTACATCCATAGGGAAACACAAACAGAATAAAAGTTCAAACAACCTTTGTGTGAATAAAATTACAAATCTATAATTGTCAATCAAAAACCTTTTTAAACTCTTAAAAATATAAAAAATATTTTAATGAATACTTGAGCTATGAGACATTGATGCTTTGGAATGCAGTAAGTTAAAGCAAGCTCTCAAATGGGAAAAAAGTATATATTAGTCAGACTTTTCTAATGTTAAACCAGGGACATCCATGAACACATGTAAATTGAAGAGTGTCTTCCAAATGAATATTGTGAATTCATTCACTGATCCAACTAAATGAATAAGAAAACTTGTGAGTAGATCCTATACTGATATAGTACTCAGCTCAGTTTGAAATTCTAGTAAGCACTCAGTTCCGTAAGTGACTCAGTCTAGTAAATTTTATAGAGAGCATGAAGACACTATGGCACAGACATGCACACACAAGGGCACACACATGCAAACATGTGCTCAACAGAGTCTGTTTTTTATGGATTTTATCTAATTTTCTTTTTTATTTCATAATAGATTTAAAAAATAATAATAAGGATCTATGATCCAAAATGAGATCCTTAGGTAAATTTTGGCAAAAGGAGAAGCCTACCTTGATTATGGAACTTGGAAGTAGAAAAAAACTGGTAAAAATGCTCGTGGGATATTTGAATGAGATCACAGGGCCCAAGGCAAAATTCATTTTGATTCTTTGTGCAAGTTCAGGCATGGTGGAAAAGGCTACAAACCCTGAGAGAACAGGAGACAAGACAATCTTATAAAAATTAGAAATACTTACACAACACTTCTACTGACAATAGTGGGGCTTTGCTTAGTCATGTTTTTGTCCTTCCATTGCAATGATCTTGGGATGTATTGGAAAGTTTTCTCTTATTCTATTGGTGGACCATTTCCCCTGCTGGGGGACATGTAGTAGCTGGTAGGTAAAAGGTGAGGTAGAGCTGCTGAAGCAACCACTGCTGGATGAACTGCAGGCAGCTTCATGTTCCAAGCATCTAGTAATGGTCTCATTTCACCCCAACTCTGAGATGCTGGAACGAGTTACAGAGCTTTCAGGAGTAAATAGTCATTTCACAAGACATGAATTAGTTTGCTCTTCAGTACTAACTAGTTATTCCATAAGCTTTTCATTCTCACTGTAGAATGACATTTCATTGTTATTACTCTCAGTGTCTTGCTAAATGTTTGCAAACCACTCCAACTCTTTCCAGTTTCCAAAATGGAAGAAGCTTTCCCTGAGCCCAAAAAGGCCCCAGGACGGGCCAAGTGTCTCAATTTACTCTGCTCTTTTATCACTAGCATTATACAGCTCCACAAAGATGAGGGTGGAGATCAGCACTACACTGGAAAGGCTATAGGGGCATCTGTATATTTTATTTCCCAAGGTGCTTTTTTGGGCCTCTACTCTGTGTGTGTGTGTGCACAGAAACTTTTATTGAAACATTAAAATTGATTTAGACAAGAAAATAAACCAGGTAATTGATAGAAATTGATGCAAAGACGGAATCTTTCCTGTCAGAGGGTGTTTGGAAATGTTTGGGGGTGAGTACCCTGGTGATCACAATGACTGTGGCAGCCTATTGACATTTGGTGGGCTGGAACCTGGGTTATTAAATGTCATACAGTGGGTCATTGCCACATAACAACAAAACTGCTAATTGAAACATTTCATGTCCAAATGTAACTCAGAGCACTGGTTGTCACATTTCCTATGTTTTGTTCTTTCCTTTTTCCTTCTTTTCTTTTCTTTTCTTTTATGGATCAATAAGAGCACATCTAAATCCTACCCACCTTTCCAGACCCAACTCAAGTCATCCCTCCTCTGTACAGTCTCCTCATAGTGTCAATACACCCAACTGGTGAAATAAAACTGACATGGTTTGAATTTTTTGTTTTGTCTCTTATGTCTCAAGAGACCTTGGGTAATTCACTTAATTTCAACTTTTGTTTCCTCTTCTATTAGGAGGCATTAACATTAGGGTTGTTCTGAAGATTAGAGGGAAGGAAAGTACTAAATATGGGGTCCTATACACCATGAATGCTCAATAGGTACTAGATATTATAGTATAATTACTTGCTTGTTAGTGGCATTTTTTTTAATTCTCCTGTTGGTAATCTGATACTAGTCTAGTCTGTGTTCTTTGATGTTCACTGCCTGTTCCAATCTTGTAAACTGCCTACCAGTATAAAGTTATCAGTTTGTTATTGATGATAATGGTAGTAATGGAAATACTATAAGAAAATTCATAGCTTTACTGGTTTTGCACAAAGTAAAATACTGCATAAAATACTGAATTTTCATATGACTTATTCTCTTAAAATTGAATACTTCAATGGGAGATCAATAACAAATTCAATTTTTTATTAGTATAATAAAGTTTTGTTTGGAAATGGATGGACTTCTTTTTGAAAGATTTTGGCAATCATTAAGATGTTAATTTTTAAAGAAGATAATTTAAAATGTTTTCATAGGTGTCTACATTGTGCTTACATTTAATTCTATCTGATGAATATTGAATCATATGCTGAATAGATAAGCCCAGTTGGTTTATTATGTTTTCATGTTCCAACTCTCAAACAAATGTAACTATCTCTTTTCCATTGATTCAAATTAAGGCTAAGCCCCTCCATTTTATTTTATTTAAATTCAATTTGGGTTGGAAGGAAGTTTTGATTGATATATATATTTACCATTCTTCAGGCATATTTCATGCTCAGAGGGAACTTAGAAACTTACTCTTTAGAATGCTTCCTTGGCTTTAAGGCACATATTGTTCCTGAAAAATTATATCACCAATACAAATGTGCTATTATGACCTGAAATCAAGGAAAGCTTGCCTTATATACTCACCTCCTCTAGGCTGCTGATAGACAGCCACTTAAAGCAATAGGGTTAGTCCCAGTACAGGATAAAGAATGAAGAGCACTGCCAATAGAATTCACTCCATTCCAATTTAAAGGTGTATTCCTGGAATATTCTTCTAGCATTGACCCTTGTAAACATACCTATTGTAGTGCCAAGTGAATGCCCAATGAAATACAACTTCTCCTGACCAGTTTTATTTACAATGAAATCTATTATTCCTGGTAAATCGTATTTGGCCATTTCATCAAAACTGCAAAAAATAAAACAAAGGTTATAAATACTTGCAAGTTACATTTAAAACATAGACACAAACTAGACAAAAGTGGTGCAAGCCTTTTGCTTGAGGAGTAAAAGGCTTGCACCTTTTGGGTGCTGAGGCAGGAGGATCATGAGTTTGAGATCAGGCTGTGTTACATAATGAGCTACACAGTGAGACCCTGCCTCAGAATGAGACCTATTGAAACTATTCTAAGAAGACAGAGGATAAAGGAAAATGATGGAGGGGGTAAATTTGACAAAGATATAAGCATTTTTGTAAGTGTCACAATGTATCTCTAGTAATATGATAATAAAAATTTCAAAAATACATACATACATACATACAAAAAACCAAAACCCTCAGACACTTGCTCATTACTTTATGCACAGAATTCTGTGCTGACTTCTTATTTAGTCTGCATCTCATTATTAACCCAAGCAAATGTAGATCATCATACACTTTCCCCCTCCACTTACATAGGTTACTTTCTAATAACACACATGATTTCAAGACTTGTGTATGCTGTTTGAATCTCAACCTTCTTTTTCCTACTCTTTATTTCCTTCTCTTGCTTTCCTTTTCCTTCCCTTTCCTCTGCTACTTTGAATGCCTTTGCTTCTGACTCCCCCATGGGATTCACAACTCTTAGGGCTATCCAATACCCATCTTTGGAAATAGAAATATTGTCAATTACAATTCTGCCATTCATTATCTAAGTAACTTTTGACAAGTTACATAAGTGCTGTAAGCTTAGGCTTCCCCATTTGAGAAATAATCAATATATTACCTGGTTTACAGGACTGCTACAATGGTTGGAGAGTATGAAACAAATGACCTGTATGCTAGTTGACACCTAATCAGATGTTGCTATTGCTAGTACTTCTGAAAATATTGATATTTAATATATACCAAAATTTTATAATATCAGTTCCACCAGCATCAACATAGAACAAAAAGGCCTATATAATGTTCAGTAGAGTCAAGTACCCCCTGAACTAGAGACTTAGCTGTTAAATGACACATGAGGAGATCTCTAAAGTGACACTACCAAGTGTAAAAGAATTGTTGTGATGTCTTAAACTCCAAGCTCCTGGATAAGGACCAGGGATAAAAGTACTTGACTCTTCACCTTCCACGGAACCGTGATCCTAGCAATTTATTCTATCCTTCTTCTCCTCTAAACCTACCAATAGTTGCTAAATATTTGATTAACATGGAATAAAAGCACACTGTATTCTTGCAGAAGACTTGCAAACCAACAGGGTACTTGGTCTGAGGAAAGGAAGTTCTCTGATGACAGCAAGAAAAACACTTTCATTGAAATAAACAGTCAACAAATAATTTCTTATTCATCATTCATTAACAAATAAATGAAGGCTTTTATTGGATATTGGAGTTTTCCTGAAAATGGTGATCTGTTTTATATTAATCACAGTTTCTAATGGAAACAATAATATAAAGTTAACAGCTTGTGCATTAGAATTTTTACCACCAACAGTCTCTGCTAACAGACTGTAAGATGTAATGTAAGTGCAAAATGGAAGAGAAATATTTCATTGGATCCCTATTATTTACTAGACATATACTGGGTGCTTTGTTAATACTCTATTTTAACTTGCCTAAAGTTTATTTAAAAACTGAAATAAATTTATCCACAAATGAAAAAAATACAGTACTGATACATATTATCTTTGCAAAATTGATTGGCTGTCCAGGAGAAATGATGTTCAAAAATACAACTGGAATGAATATAAGCTTCATGAAGTCAGTTATTTGGTCTGTTCATCATTTGAACGCTCAGTCATTGAACAATACATACAATAGATACTCAATAAACATTGATTGAATTAATTCATGCATTTGAAAAAAGAATTTCCTGAGCTGTTCTCTGGACATACTAATAATACATAACATGAACAGAATTGAATGTTCAAATGATCTTGGTAAAATGACATAATTTGAGGAAGAATCAGTGAAAATCAAAGCTTTTTGCTGGCTCTCTCTTTGTAGATGTTAGGAACTACAAGGGGTTTTATGACTCCAAGAATTACAGTTATTAATATCATCCACTCTACTATACTAAAGAAATTCACTCCAAGTTTCCTCTTGGTTTTTCTTAGATACAGTTTACCTAAAGGCCCAGAATTTCTCTTCATTTGCTGAGAGTGTTTTGTGTCTTCTTGACCAAGTATTCCCCCGACTGTTTCCCATCCATACATCATAACCTGCATCTGCTAGAATGAATCCAAGGCTTCCATTGGCATAATTCTCAAGCCAGTAGGCAGTGTCTGCAAACAAGGCATGCTGCATGTACACAACTGGCCGGGGTCCTGGAGAAGGGGAGTGGAGAAAGAAAGAAAGAGAAATTTATGATAAATAGTGTACGCCAGAAACATTATGGAAATGCATATACACAGAATAAAACACACACACACACACACACACACACACACACACACAGAGGATAAAAAGTAGTTACTATTTTAAGGATTATTTTACAGTTGTAGAAACCAGTTCCAGAGAGTCACCAGCTAATAAAGACTCAACCTCAGTTATGTCTCATGCCAAAGCATGTGCTCTGGTCTATGTATTCATGTACTGTCACCAATTTATGGTGGTTTAAATGACAAGTTTTCAGCTTTACAATGGTGCAAAACTGTTATGTGTCCAATGTAAATCTTATTTCAAGTTTTGAATTTTGATCATTTCTCAGGCTAGTGTTATAGACTCTGACACTCTCTTTTTTATATTTGGTGATACAGGGCCTCGTGCTTGCTAGGCAGGCACTCTACCACTTGAGTCACTCTGCCAACCTCTGATACTCTCCTAACATAGTGGGGCAGTATCATCAATGAGCTTCAGCTCTGACAACCACCGGGTCGTGAGGGGAAACAACCAACATTCCACAGTGCACTGCATGTTAAGTTATGATACTCAGTAGGTTAGGTGTACTAAATGCAATTTTCTTACCATATTTTCAATCTATGTTGGATTTATTGTACATAGACCCATCCTATGTAAAGTTGCATTTATATACACTTGTTCTGGGTGTGGCTTAGAAAGGTATGAAACTTATTATGCTGAATGGAATCCTACATTGCTTCCAGGGAAGAAAAGAAGTTGAGTGTAAATGAAGACTAGTTAGTTCATCACCAAGATTCTATTTAAATACTCAGTCTTTGCTCACTGGAGAGCATTCAAAAACTACAATAGTAGAATCAGAGTAACATCCTTCTGCCAACTCCCAAATTCATGAGAAAGAGAGAATTCAGTGGGATGAGAACTAAGGTGGAAGATTCAGAAAAGACTCCATTATTTAATGTCTAAAATCATAGACTCTGGTGCCAGCTGCCCAAGTTCAGATTGTCCTATCCCTAGGTATTTGTGTGACTTTGGGCCCATCCCATAATCTGCCTCAATTTTATCATCTGTAAATGGTGAGTGTTAGGGTTGCTGGGAGCTTTTAATATAGCAGATGATAAATTTATTTATTTATTTGTATATATTTATGTATGTATGTATGCATTTATCTTTTGTGGTGCAGGGAATTGAACTCAGGGCCTTGTTCATGCTCAATAGGTATACTATCACTGATTTATACCTGCAGCCCAATACTAAATGGTTTTTAATTCCAAATACTCCTAAAATTCTAAGTTTTTTCTATAAAATTTTCTCCCTTTGTATCTCACAGCTTCTTCTTTCTGAGCCTGAAATTGTCAGATTTAGTTAAAGACAAAACTAAAAATGAACATGACGTAGGATGCTCAGTTAAATATGAAGTCAAGATAGCAATGAATAATTTTTAGTATATACTAAAATGGAACTTCTATTAAAAAGTACTTTTGGTTACTTGATATTCAAATTGAACTAGAAGCCCATATTTTATGGTTTAGAGTGACACACACTTCACTCTCAGTTTTCATTCTGAAGCTGTTGGAATAAAAATTCCTTCCTTGGATGAGCAGAATATTAAACAACACAATTTTAGATGCCACTGAATATGGATGGTGGTAGAGAATATGCAGAACCAAAATGGTAAGCAGCTGTCAATCAATGATTACTTGCCTTTGAACTTTTTCTGATCTTTTGTTTACTCTTATTATCTTTCCTTCCTCAGAGGCTGTTCAATTTTTTCCCCCTTAACACCACACTCTTTTATTTCATCAACTGTAATTTAGGTCAAGGCCATATGAATATTAATGTTTTCACTGCTGGAGAAAGTTTCAGACATAACACTGTCATTTATCTTGGATTTTTCTTTTTTCTTTTGAAGAAGAAAGCCAATGGGAGGAAAGGAAGCTCTTTTGGGTACCCCAATAGAGTTAACTACATTTAACCCAGCAAATCTATTCCCAACAGTAAGGAAATTAACTTTCCTGGGACATATGAGAAATCAATAATGAGTTAACAAAATGTAGGCTCCACCTTGGAGGCTTCTTTTGTTAGCCTAACCTAACAAGCAAGCCTGGTTGTAGTCAACAAGATTAGTCTTGCTCTTTGGAATTTTAGGTTCTTGTTGGTCTTCAGAAAATTAGAGGGAAAGCATAATTTTTCCTTGTTAACCATTTGAAGACTACCCCACTAATTCAAACCAATTTTGATAAACCAGTTAAACTCTCAGGATGAATAGCCAGCATTGAATTACAGCCACATGCAGTCCTACTTCTCAAAAGACATGTTTTGTACCTGTGTTCCCAAAGTGTCTTCTCCCATAGGGAATTCTGTTGATAGAAAGTATATATCCATCTTCAGTAGTGACATCATACTCTTCACTGGGATAGCCATTGTAATTGATAATTTCACTCTGCCCAGTAAAAATACAAGTATTAGTGGAAACTTTTCTCTAGAGGATATAAAAAGAACTAGAATGTAACACCTGGTATATGCTTATCAGGGTGAGTGATGTGAAATCTGTAGCCTCAGGTAACTATAAAATTAATTTGCTATTTACAGGCATGAAATAATAAATAAGAGCTGGGTGTGGTGGCACACACCTGTATTCACAGCACGCAGTAGGCTAAAGGAGGAGGATTAGGAGTTCTAGGTCAGCCTGGGCTACATAGTGAGACCCTGTCTCAAAACAAAGTAGATTGTTAGAAAACATTTACTACTTGCAAATGTTAGGAGTGTTAGACTATTTAGCATTGGCCTGTTTTTTCTAACAAAGCTATGTTTCCAAGTTACTTGTCTCTTGCTTTAAAAATAGTACAACTAAATACCAATAGAAAATAGTTATATATATATCATCAAAATTTCTTAATATTCTTAAAGAATAAATTCAAAAGAGGAGTTGATGTGTATAATGGATATAGTACAATCCTGTTCTTCACTATTACAACTATTATTTTTTTCAGTCAAAAGATCAGATCAACCTAGCTTGATTCTTACAGTAATGTTGTAAACCATCAATCTGTTTTACCTATCAGAGATTTTCTGCTATACCAGAGCCCTTGATAGTCCTACCCTGATTTATTTGTTGTTCTTTGGAATCTTCCATGACTTACAGTATTCATCCATACTTCAGGATTTACTTCATTTTCCAAATCCAAGAAACCACCAGCATTTAAAGTTCCACAAGTCAAACAAGCTGTTGCTAGAAACAGCCACATCATAGGAATGCCTGACACAAAACATTTAACAATCACAGATTAATTTCATTTAATTTTCATTACTAAAATGAAAATAGTTCCCCAGTGAAAACTTGAACAATAGCCTGAAACACCGATGCTGTATATGGGAGGGGAGAAAAACAGTGAACAAACGTGGAACACTAGCAACCTATTTTGGCATAGAGAAGCAGTCTAGACATGTCCAGTTCTTTAAAATGGAATGAATGTAATACAGTATGGAGGCCTTTATGGTTTTATTTTAATTAAAGTTTTAAATTATTTTAAGACTGTTCATCTGAGAGTTTTCTGAAGACCTAAAGATTCATCAGACAAGTTTCTACACCATGGCAAAATGAAAAGTGAAGCTTTGCTTGCGTAACCTAACCCAGCAACCCACAAAGCAACAAGAACAATGAACAGATGAAGCTTCATTTGTTCATGTGTAAGCAAACAAGCTTACAAATCAAGTGCTGTGACTATTTCTCACAGATACCCAAGGCAAATCTTACAAATTTCAATGGTGCTCCCTGACTTCCTTGTCATGTTTAAAAGCTTCTCTCATTAAAGGCAGCTGACCGAGTGCTACTGTAGTCAATTTGCCTGGATTTGAAGTCTTACCTCACCATAAATAAGACTTCTGACGCTAGGCAAGTTATTTAAGAGCTTTGTCTTGATTTCTTTGTTAATAACATCAGGATAATAATGTGACTGTCCTCACAGTGTTAGGGTGAAGATTAAGAGACATTATCTAACACATTTAGCACAGTGTACGTTCTCAGTAAAAAGCTTTCACTATTTTCTTGTTCTAAGCGTGAGAAAGAGGCTAATATCAGAGTAAACCAAAACAAATTAATGTCTGACTTCTAAAAACACATTTTACTTTTGAAGCTTCATAGGTTTTTCATACATTTTCTATCTAGTTGAAGATGATTTTATATCTGTAAATGCTGTATACTTTAAAAATTTTAAGCAATAATAGTACCTGTTGAATGCTTACCTTATACTAGGCATTTTCTTCAATGCTTCATCTGCATTATTTAAACCTAGGAAAACTCCATGAAGTTGGTACTAATATTATCCTCATTTTATCAGTTAAAAAAGGCTTAGAGAAACTTAAGATCTGTGACTATATCACAGAACCAACAGATGACAGGTCTAGGTGGGGCATCCATGCAGCCTCACTGCAGAGACCTCGCACCTAATAGCCACTTCTATCCTGTTTTCCAGTTGTGATGAATCTCCATCTTACCTAGTTAGATGAGCTTCACCTGTCCTGAGAACTCTGGACTGATCAGCAACTTCCAAACTTTTGCTTTTGTCATCAGGACGAATGAGGTATGGTTACAGTGACAGTTAGAAGCTAGAGAGATGGGAGACAGGAAGCTTGTGGAAATGAGGAAAGCTTGGACTATGACACACCCAAGGCGTCTCCCTGACATACCTGCTGCCATGATACATTTGCATGTTGAGAAATAGTAAACGTAATGCCAAGTAACCAGTTTGGATAAGTCATTAATGTTTGTGATGAGTGTCTGTCATTATTGGGAGGGTTCAGTAACATTTTCAAACCAGAGCATCAAACGGAGAAATAGAATATACTCAGGATTCTAATGGACAAAATAAGAGATAATTGTCTCTCCTCCCAACCTCATAGCACAACAACAAAGAAAAAACAACAGCAATGTATGTGAAAGAACTGGTGTCAGCCACTTAGCAAGCAGGGAAGTGTGTGACTGTAACTCAACTGAGAAGAGGATATAATCTGACTCCTGACAGACCAGGAGGAGTTTGAAACTAGCAGTGTGACAAAGGACTTGGCCAGTGGTCAACTTTGGCAGCAACCACTGTGGTTGTTGACCCAGAATCCATTTAACTGCTGCTTTAAACAAGGTAGAATTGGAGGACTGAAAGGAATGAAGACAATTTAGCTCTAAATTCCACATGAACTATCACACAGTAAAGGTATGTGTGCCTCAATTTTCACATTGTAGGCCTACAGAGCCTAAGCATTCACTCAATCTCTTTTATTTCTCAGCAAGGATTGAGAAAATTAACCCAGTATGATACAGGAGTTACAGTTTTATTTGTTTATCATCTTCAAATCCTTTCAGAAACAAAGGTATTATCCATATTTATACAAATCCTAGGATCTGTTTGAGTTGAGTGGAAAATTTCATGCCAATTAAATGTATGGCAAAAGAAAACTTTCAGCTTGTTGCAACAGGGAAAAGTTACACACCATCCATGTTCATTCAGTCTTTGATGAAAGACTCAAACATGTTTTGCTCTGATTGACAGTTTGATGGTAGAGGTGTATGGACTTGTTTGGAATCACTCATGGTTTTTTACCCTGAAACATTCTATTCTGACAAAACTTCAATGGATTCTTCCAAGAGTTCTAGGGAGCCCAGTGTTATTACTACCATTAATGTTGATGTGTTGTCAAGGCTTGGTGGGCAAGTAGCATGAATATGGTTTAACTGCTCAGGTCTTTACAGAATGTAGACTAGCTCAAATCTCAAAAAGAATTTCTATGCTATTGACTTATATTCCTCCCATGACTTTGAGGATTATCTTAATAAATTGAGAAATTTTTCCAGTTTTTTGCTGGCATAGAAACAAAGCTATATAAAATAAATGAGGCTTTTTGACAGTGTTTCATCACTATTATTATATATGCTTGCTATTTTAGTAAATATTCAATACATTATTGATTGACTACAATGTATTATTATACATAGTAGTATTTATATAATATTATATACAATGGCTATTATTACATATAATGACATATCTAATTATACAATGACATATCTGAAAGTACATTATATGTTATAATATATTGTATGATATATTACATATAATGACTTACATGTAATAATAGCCATTATATAATATTACAAATAATTGTTATATAGTTTAATATTCATAGTGACATTGATTAGATTTAAATTTCTTTCTTGACTTTGAAATATAAACTGTTAGTCTGTAGTCTCCAAAGGCTCAATTATTTCCTTGTTTTCTTATAAAAGTAGGTGATATTAAAGCTAGAAAGTGATCTTAGAAAAAAATATACACTGAGGAGAAATATTTAGGAATAATTGTGTCATTTCTGAGGAATTGATACAAGAATCCTATCAAAGCATGAGCAAGTTGTTTAAAGACTATTGCACATTCAGTTAAGAAGAAGGTTGAAAATACATGGTTAAACTTGGATCTCTTAACTGGGAAAATGATTAGTGTTTTTCTTGCCTCATTTAAAGGAGAGTTGTAGAAGAGGTGAATTCAAGTATGATATATTTGATACATTGTAAGAACTTTTGTAAATGCCACAATGTACCCCACTCAGCACAACAATAAAGGAAAAATAATATTTTCTATAACAATGTTTCAACTTTTTGTTTGTTTAATTGATTGCTTCCTTCTCTCCGAAGACTTTTTCTTTTTCTTTGTGGTACTGAGGGTTGAACTCAGAGCTTCACGCTGCTAAACAAGTGTGTTACTACTTGAGCCATGTCCCCAGTCCTTTTTGCTTTTTCAATTTTGTTTTTCAAATATGGTTTTCTGGTTTTGCCTAGGCAGGATTTAGAACATGATACTTCTACCTCTGCCTCCTGAGTGCTGGGATTACAGGTATGAAGTACCACATCTAACTAAAATTGTCATTTCTTAATATATGAGTTTGTGTTAAAGGGGACATAACTTTCCCTTGAATATAACACTTCATTGGACTAGGTTATATTAGATCAGGCAACATTAGATTAAGCTATAACAATAAAACAGAAACTAATAAGAAATTTGAAAACATAAATAATTTGAAACCCTTCACCTTTGAGATAAATTTTGCCTGAAAGTAATACTTTGAAACAGGAAAGTTGAATTTAACCTTTGCTCACTGGATAATTTATGTTTAATTTCAAATAGAGCTCAACAAAGTCATAAATGTGGGTTACTGTGTATGTGTGTATACAATGATTAGCACATTTTGGCTTGTGAAAAAATACTTTAAATTATATGTTAAAATTTTATTTCTTTATCCATAAACTGAAGTTGGCTATGTTCATGATTTATGTAAGAAATTATTGATTTTGTGATTACTTGTTGGGGTGAAATTTTTTTTAGAGTTTGTTACAATGAATCTACATTTCACCACCACTAAACTCATCTTCAAAAATAGTATAGTTATTATAAAGAGGATGAAGTCATAAATAGTAAAATTCAATTGATCATAAATAATTAAAATGTTAAAAACTTTTGTTAAAGTAGCCATAATAAACCATTTGAACTTATACCCAACCCCATCCAAAATTGTCAAAGGAAACATCACTTACATTTAAAGACAAGTTGTTATCAAAAGTGCTGACATCCATGTCCAGGAAGAGGCAGGATCAAGATTGTGTTTATGGCAAAGACCAAAACTTTATGAGAACAAAGAGGAAGGGCCATACCATTGAATAGAAAGAAAATTATACCATCTACTCCTCCAAGCAGGTTTACCTGCCTACCTTGCTTAATAAGACAATTTATGTATGGTATTCTGTACAGGTCATTTTGTATTTGAATTCCTGTAGGCGGTATATATTTAAATGAAGACTCTGTTTTGTTTTTTTTTAAAAAAACCAAACACACACACACAGAGAACACTTACCTAGGCATCCAAGTTGAATCTGGTTTTAGTCTTATCCAATGTTTATGAGTAAATATTGTGACTGGAATGTCCAAAGAGATAACACTGACTACTTTGATATCTAACCCTGTATCTTTCCCAAGATCATATTCTATTTTGTGAAATTATAGTTAAATCATCTTTAAATCCTCACTGGCATTCCCTGAAGATAGGTAAATTATTTTGTGTGTCAGAATATCTTTATTTCATCCTTGCCTAGTCTCCATCAACATCAGTATATTTTGCTGAATGAGTGAATTTAACCATGGGCTAAATGATAACTGCATCTTCAAAGGGTAAAATTCATAAGGGTGGACAAAACCAATCTTTCAGATAAAG